TTTGAAATGTCGGGCATTTTAAACTTTTTAGGGATTGAAAGGGGAGCAGCACTCGGTTTCCAAGGTTGTTGTGAATATTTATCCGCATCTATTCCTTTGATTATTGGGGGAACTCCAGGGATTTGCTCGATGCGTTCGTTTTGTTCTTTGAGTTGTGTCTGCAAAGTTAGTACCAAATTGTGTAAATAAGAACTATTTGTATTACCTGGATTCATTTCGCGTGGTTCAATGAGGGTTCCTTCGTTTAAATTAACAAGGCCAGAACGAGGATTCTCCAGCGTATTGTTATTAGGCGAAGGTGTGGACGGCGCAGCAGGAAACCGGTTAACTAGCGCTTGAAGAGCTTGGTTAACCCGTGCATCAATTATTCTTTGCAGAGCTTCTTCTGGTCCCTCAAAATGTCCTGATTGCTCCTGCTCATCAGAATGTGATTTAGGAGTGCCTTCACGAGATTGACGTGGTGAATTTTGAAGGGCAGGAACCGCGTTAAAGTTCTGCAAATCTCCTTGATCTTGATGCATTTGATTGTCACGGTTCCCCAAGGTGTTTTCACTGTTATTATTGTCATGTGACATGATGATAACCACAGATAAAATGTAACGTAAAAAGAATAGATTATCAGATTCCCGGTAACGGAACCAATTTGTTTCGCCTAAGAAATAAATTTTTTGGATAATGTTAGAATTGGAGATGAAAAATCAGGTTACTGATAATCAAGAGACCAAAATAATAATAGGCTTTCTGAGAATAATAATAAAGCAGTACGCAAAAGTTCTTATTTTAGTATGAGGTAAGTCATGTCCTTTTTCCAATACAATTTCCTCCTTTTATAGTTGATTCTAGGTAAAGGAAATAAATCTAAGCTTTAATGAGACAATTATAGACAATAAATGACATTAAATGAGCCGTTACACAATCATTCCTATTAAATACCAATTTTCTAACGTATCAGGTATTTAATACTGAATTTGGACTCCTTTTTGTCTTCAGATTCATGTCTTCAATGCCTTTCGACCCGCTGGCTTTAAATGACTTCGAATTGGTTCGAGACTCGTGTCTAAACCGCTTCTCGTGCCTATTTCATTTCTTCTTCCCGTACCTGTTATTTCCCGTACCTTTTTCCCAACTGTTACGCTTTGACCACTTGTCCAGTCCACGTGTCATGCCACGTCATCTTCAATATAAATTCAACTTTTTTCCCAATACAACGGCGTACGACGTATGTGATTGCCTCAAAAAGAGTTTAAGTTATATACATCATCATCAGTTAAAATATAAACGATGTTTTACCTGACTAATGTGTACAAAATCCTTAACCATCTTTATATTGGGTAGATTTGACCATTTAGCATACTAAAATATTTTATTTAGTACCAAATAAGAAGTCATTTTCAAGCCTGCATGTCATGGATTTGTACCAAATTTAACCAATACTTTAAAATGAGAGAAGAGGAGAATGTGAAATAGGATACTGACACAGCGTAGAGTTTTAGCTATGTAAATTGAGAATTTTTTACACTATTAAATCACTCAAAAAATATTAATATTTGCATGTGTCTTCTAAAAATGTGGGATATAAAAAATTCTTTACAACGATAGATAGGTAAAATGAGACCTGATTGTCTAAACATTCTTTACACTGAGGTATATAACTTAAAATCTTTCAAAAAAGCCTTTCTGAGTTGGACATAACTGTCTAATTGATGCTAAAGGAAGCCACATCTACATGGTTGAAAATTTAAAAACGAATTAATACAAAGACAGGCAAGAGAGTATATTAGAGTAAATAAAATTAAGCTGGGGCTCATAAAAACTAAAGTGAAGGAACATAATGCTCAAAGAATTGCAACATCTATTGCACCTGGTTGGAATGTGCTAACAAACTACCTAGATGCAATCAATGGTAGACTCTGGATACTATGCGATACCACTAACCTGTTGATTAATGGTATTAAATTTGATGCTCAAATGATACACTGTCAGGTAAAACGTAGAAGTGATATTATTGACTGCTTACTCACAGTAGTGTATGGATACAATGGGTGAACAAAGAACCCTCTGGGATACTCTACAACAACTCTCATTGAGTATAGCAGTCCCATGGATGATAGCTGGAGATTTTAATGCAATGTTATACCCCAATGACAGGCTATCTGGTAACCCAATAAGCTACTCAGAAATTCAATACTTTGCTACATGCCTTCAAAACACTACATTAACAGAACTACCTTGGAAAGGAGATTATTATACACGGTCTAACAAGCAAAATGGATCTGATAGGGTCAACAGCAGGTTAGATAGAGTGTTTGGCAATTATGAATGGATGATATCATAGGGTCATGTAGAAACAAACTATGAATTGCCTCAAATATCTGATCATGCTCCTATGAACCTAACTTTGACATCTTCCACATCGAAAGGTAGAATGCCTTTCAGATTCTTTAACATATGGGCAGAACATGATGACTTCTCTCGAATAGTTACTAGCATATGGAGTTCACATAGTCCACAGGGTAATATGAAATTAGTTTGGGCAAGATTGGAAGATCTGAAACCTACTTTGAAATCTCTGAATTCTAAGGAATTCAGGGGCATAACTCAAAAATTTAAAACGCAAGAATTGAGCCGAGTGACATACAAGGAAAATTTTCACGGGGATGCACTGATACCTTACTTGATATGGCGAAAAAAGTACTACTGAACCTTGAGAAGTGGTCTTTAATTGAAGAGAGTGTCCTTCAATAGAAAGCTAGAGCAAAGTGGATACAACTGGGGGATTCAAACTCTAAGTACTTTACAACAGTGATAAAGGATAGAACTCAAAAGAGGCAAATCACAGAAATTATAACTTTGCTAGGAGACAAGATGACTAATCCCATGCTATCAAAAGAGAGATTGTTGATTTCTACAAAAGTTTAATGGGAACAACTGCCACTAATTTGAGTGACATCAACAGAACATAAATGAAGCATGGGACTACATTATCTCACCAACAAAGGGTTGATCTATGTGCAGAAGTAACCAATCAAGAGATTGTTGAGAGCCTCAAAGCAATTGGTGATGATAAAGACCCAGGCATTGATGGCTTTAATTTCTTCAAGAAAGCCTGGGATATTATCAGTATGCAGATCATAGATGCTATGAAAGAGTGCTTCTCAACTGAAAAACTCTATAAAGCCATAACTGTACTACTATTACATTGGTGCCTAAAGTGAATAAACCTACCACAGTCAAAAGGTACAGACCAATAGCCTGTTGTTCAATACTTTACAAGATGATCTCTTAAATCTTGGCTTCCAGATTACAGAAAGTCATACCTTACATCATCTGTGAGGCTCAAGCAGGCTTCATTCTTTGTAGAAAGATTGTCAATAATGTCATTCTATCTCATGAGCTAGTCAAAGTCCTACAAACAAGAGCTCAGATATCCCCTAGATGTATGAATAAGATTGATCTTCAGAAAGCTTACGACTCAGTAGAATGGATCTTCTTACAGCAGGTTATGGAGGATCTTAGGTTTACTGACAGATTTATTAGATGGATAATGGAATGTATTAAAACTGTCAACTATACAATTCTGGTGAACAAGGAAACCACAGAACCTTTCATTGCTGCTAAGGATCTTCGACAAGGAGATCATATCTCCCCTTTTCTCTTTGCTATAGTGATGGAATACTTTAGTAGATCACTGCATGGACTTAAGAAGGAGCCTGACTTCCAATATCATCCCAGATGTAGGAAGCTTGGTATCACTCATGTGAGTTTTGCTGATGACCTTCTGTTATTTTCTAAGGGTAATCTCTTTTCAGTGGCTTCACTTTATAAATGCTTTACTCAATTCTCTTAAGTATCATGCTTATAGGCTAATCTAGGAAAAAGTTCAGTATATTTTGGTGGTGTAAAGCAAGCTGTGAAAGACCACATAATGGCACAACTGGGATTTACAAGTGGATCCTTACTCTTCAAGTACACATGCATCCCTTTGTCTACAAAGAAAATAGCTCTCATACAGTGGCAACCATTGATTTAAAAGATCACAGCCAAGATTTCTTCCTAGACTGCTAAGAAGTTATCTTATGTTGGTCGTGTGCAGCTGCTCCAATCTGTAAACTTTGGCGTATAAGCATACTGGGCTCTGTGAGCACGTGATTTTTGCCCTAAGCAAATTAATTCCAAAAGTTTCAAATAATTGATTTCTTTATTATTTTACAATTTTTTGTGAATTTTTGTTTGAGTTTTTGTGTTAATTGGTTGCATTTTTCATAAAAAAATACAGAAAATATGCACATACATGTAGGGATTTTAATTTCACAATTGTTAGTATTAATTAGGTATTAATTAGATTTAGAATAATGAAAAAATATAATAATAAGTCTTGTTGCACTCTTAATTGTTATTTGTTGCGTTAGAGTTTTAAGTAATTTTTAGGAAGTTTAAATAGTTTAATTGAGTCTTTGTTTTGTTCTAGCATTTTTATAAAATTAAGAAAAAATGAATAAATACAAAATACAAAAATACAAAATGAAATACAAAAGAAATACAAAGGGGCTGCCAAAAATTGGGCCCAAATGGCTGAGCCCAAACAAAATAGGCTTGATCCGTCCCAGACCCGTCCAACCCTACCCGGTCCAATTCCTCAGCCCACGTGAAACGACGTCGTTTGGACTCGTTCAATCAGGACCGTCGAGGTTCTTTGATCGAACGGTCCTGAAGCTGGTTTTACTTAATATATATATGTCCGAAACACACCCCCCTACCCCTTCATTCATCTCTCCCGCACCCCCACCCTCATATCTCACCGGAAATCGCCACACCATAGCCCCACCGTACCCCACTGTATCTCCACCCCTTTGCCACCGTCCGCCGCCGGCCGAAAATCGCCGCCGCCGCCGGCGAAGCCCCAAATCACTCAAAAAATACACCCCGGCTTCCCCTTAACCTCCCCTTTATGGATCCGAGCATAGTTTTCCTCAAATCCTCCTCTAACTCTTCGAATAAAAGAAAACCTAGACGCCGCCTCCGCCGCGTACGGCGGCGTCGCCCAAAATTCCGCCCAAATTACACCCTGGGCTCCTCTTACCTTCCTATCCCTGAATCTTGAACTAATTTTTCTCAAAACCAACCGGATTTGCTCGAATCTTAGATCTAGGGTTCCGGATGAGGGTCTCGAAATTCCGTTGGGTAAATTGATCCTTACGTGATGATATTTGCCTATTTTTGACAAAGAATAGGCAAATAACATCACTTGGGGATCAAATTCGAGGGCGATTGAGGTCGGTTGCAGGGTCGTGTAAGTTTTTTCTTATACCTCTCTTTTACTGTTTTTGCTTTATTTATTTATTTATTTAGGTATTATTGATCTCTTCCAGTATTAGTTTAGGAATTATATTAGAATTGACTATATCTGAGTTTCCGTTTGCTCTTTAGTTTTGATTGTTTTCTTTAGTCTCTTAGAATTGATTCTGATTAAATATGACTCCTGTTTTCGAATACTGATATGATTCTTACTTGATTGTTACATGTCCAAATAGTTCGTTAATTGAAAACAATACAGATTTTAAAAGAATAAGCTAGTTCTGTTAAATTGTGAACACTGCCAGGTTTAGGTCAAGCTAACCATAGTCAGTAATAACTAAGTTATGAGGTTTAGTTTTAGTTGGTATGGTTCAGTAATTCTGGTACAATTAAAGGGTAGTTTGGGTAGGGAAAAGGGTAGTTTTATTAGGAATAGTAATTGTAAAGGTAAGGGGAGGGTAGTGTAGGGATTATAATAGGTATAGGATCTTCTAGAACAAGACTTTAGTGTAGCTTTGGTAAAATAAGTGTTGTTACTTGGGTAATAAGTTTTAAAAATGAGGGACTAAGAAGCTAAATAAGAAAGGGACTAAAAAGAAAACTAAAATCTGAAGTTAACCTTAGGTTTTGCCTATAAAAAAGCATATACACTGCCTTGTTGGAGAAGGACCTCGGAAAATTTCAAAGAAAAAAAAAATCTGAATCCTGAAGTCCAAATTTCTTTTAGATCTCATTCAAGCAGAAATCAAAAACAGAAAGCACACAAAATAGGAGTTAAAATGGTCTTGATTCTGAGTGAATTTTAAGCTCGAGTGAGCAGTCTTTTGAGTCCTTTGTTTGCTGAGAGTTTTAAAAGGAGTTTTGTGGTCATTTTTGAGTCTAGTTGGGTAAATTTGACACTGTTCTGGGTGGTCTATCCATCCTACTCGAATTGAAACACTTCTGCACTCATTTCTGGGTTGAAACTGTCTGAGTGGTTGCTGCTTGAGTTTCAATTGCTGCTGATTGCTTTGCTGTAGCTAACTTCTCCTCCTTTTACTTAATTCACACTTCAGGTACACAGCTTTGAACTCGCATCAGTGTAACTTTGAGCTGGAAATTTAGGGCAATGTGTATAAGCCTACTTGTGAAATCAAAAGAATTTGGTGTTTCATCTGATTGTTCCTACAGCCATGATTAGTTTCAATATTTAGATGCAAACTCATGTGAACTAGTATTTACTGGATTAACTAGGACAATTTGTATAAATAGGACTGTTGGACTGTTCTGAGTTTGTTTTGAATCGTTGTGAATTCTGATAGAAGGAACAGCAGTGTTCCATGATAATAGGTTGTTTAAATCTTTACATTTAATTAGGTGGTATATGCATAAGTCTGTTGTTGAATCACAATGGAGAACCAGGTTTCGTCCGTGAGCTTATATATTAGCATATAATTTTGTCCTTAAAAACTTTTGATCCATATGTTCACCCTTGGACAGATTCGAAAATTAAACTAGCAAACTGGAAGTCTTAACAAACAATATAAAATAGTTGTAGCATCGGCAGTCAATATCCGATCTCGGATTAATACCAGACCTTGCACCAATTTGAATTCTGTTTCTGGGCTCAAACACAAGGCCCAAGCAATTAGTGTTCATCTTTGTAGCTGAACTTTGTACGAGATATTCTTTGTGGGCTTAGGGCCCTTCAATGGTGAGCCCAATCGCACAAGCAGCTCACTTCGCTGAGTCTAAATCCAGACTCACATCCTGTTGGGCTTTATCATTTTGGAATGGGTTTTAAGATTAATTCTTAATTGAAAATAGTACCGGGTTTGGGTTGTCCAAGTTAGGTAGCACCTTTGAATTAAGAGGTCTTCCTCTTGTTCAAATGTGGACTTGAGCTGGGAGCCTAAATTATTTTTAATAAATGAGAGTTCATAATACTGATTAATTAGGCCCTTTTAGAAACTAATAGAAAATAATAGTCCCTTTTAGGATGACCTTTTTAAAACGAGATGTGCCGCGCCAAACAAAATTCATAAATTGCGTGGCTCTCTTTAAATGTTATATTAAAACACGTAGAATTCGGGACGCGCCGTCTAGCGAATTTCACGGCTTCCCTCAAAGTTAATAAGACGCTAGCCACTGTAGGCGTGCTTTTAATAATTTTACCTTCTTAAACTCGGATGTGCATTTCGCGCAACCCAAATCCAAATCCTAAAGTGTTGAATAAGAGGTGTTGAGGATCCGGGTGCATTTCATGTGACGTGATCCAAAAACACGCTCTTAAACGGCGTTCACTTCCGTAAAAAGTAAATAAAAGCGGTAAATAATTTATAAAATTGCACTATAGGTTTGAATATGTATAAAATCAGAATTTTAGCCATTTATAATAATTTAAGCGACCGTGCTAGAACCACGGGATCCGGGGGTGCCTAACACCTTCCCTCGGGTCAACAGAATTCCTTATTCAGAATTTCTGGTTCGCAGACTCCAATTGGGAAGTCGAATTTTTCCTCGATTTGGGATTTAAATTAAACCGGTGACTTGGGACACCAAAAGCCAATCCTATCCCAAGTGGCGACTCTAAGAAATAAATAAATAATCCCATTTCGAATAATGTCACTTTAAATGGAAAAACTTCCTTATACATTATCCTTCGGGGTAGGTGTGTAAAAAAGAGGTGTGACAGGCTCAATTGTTTATCTTACCTGCTAAGGTACTGAAAACGATAGAGGTATTTTGTAGAAGTTACATCTGGTCTAGAACTAATACAATAACCAAGAAGTCCTTAGTAGCATGGGAAAAGATCCGTACTCCCAAGTCAGCTGGTGGACTTAATCTCATCAACCTTCCTCTGTGGAACAAAGCAGCTATTGCCAAATCTTGCTGGGACTTAGCACATAAACAGGACAAGCTATGATAAGGTGGATCAATGCATATTATATCAAACACCAGCAGCTCCAACAGATACCTACACCTCAGCAAGCCAGTTGGATGGTGAGACAAATAATTAGGTCCAGAGCAACTCTGCTGCAGACACAAAATATACATGACAACAGGAAAAGTATCATTAGACAAATATAGATGCAGCTCCTAGGTGAGTTACCAAGAGTAAGCTGGAAATGTCTGAATTTCCAGAATACTACTAGGCCAAAGGCAGTCTTCACTATGTGGTTGTTGCTCCATGGTAGATTGCCAACTAAAGATAGGCGTGCTAGCCAGCTGGGGTATTGTTGTTACCTCTTAATGTGTTATGTGTCAAGATCAGGATGAATCAAGGGAACACCTCTTTGTACATGCCCATACACTATAGAACTTTGGAAGAAAGTACTGTCTTGGGTCCAAAGAGCACATATGTCTGCCACTTGCTGGGATCAACATCTTTAGTGGAACATCAAACAAGGAAAAGGGAAGTTCAAGAAGGCTAGCATCTTCAAAATGATCTATGTTGAGATTTCGCATGCAATATAGATAGAAATTAAAGAAACACACGTATATTTGAGCAAAGGTATCGAGGAGATGATGTCCTGGTGCGTGAGATAGCACACATATGCAATGCTAGAGTAGCTACTCGAGCTAGTAGTTACATACAACAGTTTTGGCTAGGAACAAAGTAGATTGAATAGTTTGTTTGTAAATAGCTTGTTTTGTCTTTTAGTTTTGAGATAGCCAGCTGAGTTAGCATGGCTATGGTTTTGTACCGTCTTTCTTTGGTGAATAATACAAAAGAAATTTAATTACAAAAAAAAA